TGAGAATATTTTGTTTTTGGTGTATTTTGTTTTGTTTTGTTTTTCGTGTATTTTGTTTGGAAGTCGGTTTTGTTTTTTTATTAAAAAGTTTTCATTAAAACTGAAATGTTTTACAAAAACTAATAAATGCGCTTTTAGTGGCCAATGCTTTACGAAGGTGATTCGGGTAAAACATTTTATACCCGCAGGCAAAACGCGAACACATTAGTACCATTTCAAATCTCCCTTACAAAATAAAAGTACGCAAACAAAATTGCTTTACGAGCGGCCGCTCTCAGCGAATGAAAGAGAAATTAAAAACGCTGTTGCAACGTCAATATTTCAAAGCATAAACCATTTGTGGAGGGAAATCTTTGATGCTATAACACGTTCCCGCGTCAATTCTTAATGGTCGCGACAGGTGTCAGCTCCGCGCCGCGTTCATTATCGACTTATTACATACTGTGTTATGTATTGATTTGTTTAATGAACAAGTTTTATAGTACCGTGTAAGAGGAAATAACTCATCGTAGATTCGTCTGCGAAAATATTCTATCGATGAACATAGAACAAGTTAAGATTACATCAGAAAGAAAAGTAATATGGGTTAAGAACTTACCCAAGAGTAGTCATTGTGACGATGGTGTACCAGAAGGCGGCAGGAATGGACGTGAAGTTTGTATCCTGTTCATTCTTCTCAGCGTAGAACATGACCGTCGCGAAGATGATGATAGCCATAGCAAGCGAGAAGACCAAGAAGCCCAGCTCGCTGGCGCATGACTTGAGCGTGTAACCCAGGATCCTGAGACCTTGCGAGTGCCGCGAGAACTTGAAGATACGGAATACTCGGAACACTCTCAGAGTGACGAACGCGCCGGACACGTCGTCGTTATCAGTGATACCCAAGCCGATGTAATACGGCAGGATGGCCACCACGTCAATGATTGACATCACGGAACGCACGAACTTGCAGCGATCCGGCGCCGCAAACAGCCGCAGCAGATATTCCGCCGTGAAAATCATAACGCACGCCGTGTCCAAACAAAAGAATACAATCTTGTATCGCTCACCGCAAGGCAAAGTGCCGGCGCGCCCCGGCCTATGGCCGCAGGGCACTGTCTCCACGACGTTGGCCATCACCGAGACGGCGATAAAGAAACCCGTCACATAGTAGAATACTAAAGCGGCAGTGGAAGTGTGCGGATTCTCAAACGCCCTCCACATTTTCTGTCTTAAATCTGTTAGCTGAGGCAGGCTCTGATCACCAGCCTCGCTCAACTTATCGTCCATGAGCCTTTCGGCATTTTCCCTTTTCCTATCCCTGTAGTCCTCGTAGCAGCAGTCACCGATCACGTCGGGTAATATACCAAAGAACGCCAGCTCCTCATCGTACCCTGTCAAGCACTCGTGTTTAGGATAATGCAGTTTACCGGTTCTGTAGTAGTTAAGAATGTGTCTGAATATATCAGGATCTCTATCGAAGAAGTATTCCCTGCTGTCCTCATCATAGAAGAACTCTCTCTCGGAGGAGCCGAGGAGGGAGTCGGGGTACTTCTCGAGGGTGTTCCGCCAGGTCTCGAAACGGCGGCCGGAGACATTGATAAGGAGTTTTTCATCCTCTGCGCGGCGGCGGTCCTTGGGCACGGGCGGTGGCGGCAGCGGGTGCGTGGCGATGGGCACCCAGCCGATGGCGGCGGCGCGGGCGAACGGGAGCCAGGCGGCGACCGACGCCATGGCGCTGTGTGGCGGCAGCGGCGCCGCTGTACTGAGCGAGCGGTGTGCGTCCCCCGCGCTCTCCTCACCCTTCGCCCGCCGCTATTTCGGGCCGCCCGCCCAGATGTGGCAGTGTTGCCACGTGCAGCGTTTAAATATACCGATCATAACATCTGTTTGTCTATTTGTCGTGTAAAATAATGTGCGCTATATTTATCATTGGCTATTTGATGTGAACACGCAAAGAAAAAATGTAATACAAAATATCTGTAAGTAAAGACAAGCAATATTGTTCTACGACTTTGAGTCGATATCGATGCAATCATTTCTTGACTACATAAATACAAGTTGAGATAATATGTATACGATAGAATAACTTATTTACAATGAATGAAACTATCTTAATCTTTGTTCACATAAAATCTGAAAATTTGAACAAACAATATTCAGATTCAAATAAAACATTTTATTTCCTCAACGGGAATAATTTTCCGTTCACTAGCAACCCCGGCCGGGAAACAGTGTTGCGCATGCGTGCTCTGTGACGTCACAGTCTAATAAATTGATTTTCAACTACCAATCTCCCTCTAACAGGTAACATTTCCTAATGTGCCATCTCTCTCGCACACCTTCAGCTACGGTGACCTTTTGTAATTTTTTTGCACCGTTCTAAAGACTTTTAAAGGCTTTTGTCTCAAGGAAGTGAAAAGGCTTGAACGGGGCTTAGGGGCCCGTTTATGGCTAAACACGCCAACCGGTACAAGATCTTTTTAAATCGATTACTCGTTTTGATACCGAATTGTTTGTGGATTAAATTTTGCATCGATTTTAGATATAGATTTATCTAGAGCGTGCTTACCTGCCGATTTTAAACATACTCAGACTATTCTAAAATGAACTTTATTGGAATTGATAAAGATACCATTTCCAATAACTACAGCCATTGCCCTTATATTAATTTACAATATTTTACATACAAAAAATAAATCAAAAAAATGGGACCCACCTGCAAGCATTACCTTTCGAATAAAAGTAGATTTATCAAAATCGGTCCACTAGCGGCGGAGTTATGCCGTAACTCATATAAAAAAAACATACAGACGAATTGAGTACCTCCTTTTTTTGGGAAGTCGGTCAAAAATTAGCTTCTTTCCTTTTAATTGTCCTAAACATTCGAATTGTTAAAACAGACGTGAGCTTAATTGTTTTTTAAACAAAACACTATCGGTTATCATGGCTTAATATTTCCTGTAGGTTGGTTGTCATTAACGATATTATATGTATTTTCAATATATAGAGCCTGGTTGAGACATCAAGTTCGAACTGTTATGGGAATGTAGGAAAAATGTTAACTGTCAATTGAATAGTTTTTTTTTTATAACATAAGGTGGCAAACGAGCAAGCGGCCACCTGACACCGCCAAAATGGCGAAACGACCGCTGCCCCTATGGGATGTCTATACATCCGCAATTGCAGATACGTTGCCCACCCTTGTACGACGGAGGAGGAGACGCACATAAAGAGGATATTTCCCCTTCCTATGCATCTTCTCCACCGTCAAATCCTCTTCCTCTTCCCAACCTTACCTTATAATAAAAGGATGGTAAAGAGGAATGGACTTAAATTAGGCCTCCGGTACCACACTCATCAGAAGAAACACGGAATTGCTTCCATTTCACGCCTTTCTTCTGTGTAGTCGTGGTATTACACCGGGCGAGCCGGCCCTGCAGTGCTAAGATGTTAAAGCGGGCACTACAACTGTTAGTGGGGTTAAAGTGGTCCTACACACGCACAGTTCCCTAAAGGAAATCCTAAACTTAGTCCCTTTCCACCCTTATCTTAAGAGGTAAGTATGGGAAAGAAAAGCGGATTTAATGGCGGAGGATACATTAGAAATATCGTCTTTATGTGCGTCTCTTCCGTCAATTAAGGGTAAGCAACGCATCTGCCATTGCGGATATCTATGGGTAGTAGTCGTGTCGTTATTTCGGTGGTTTCAGGTCGCCGCTTGCTCGTTGCCACTTTATAATATAAAAAAATTCAACTGTCCAGTTGTCAAAACTAAGCGTATGTACTTAGTAGCTACTCTATTCATGTCTTTGTTTTATACACAACCTTGGCTTTGACCTAGTTAATCCTTAGTAAAACACTCTCAAAAATACTTTCTCACGGATACCTTATTTGATCAGTGGCCCGGTGCTTGCCAAAAGTCGTGACTATATATAAAAAAAATATTTTTATACGAAAACTACTGCTATAGTTTGTCTAAATAAGATAGACTAGTTTGATAAATGATGCATATGAAGTATCGAATTCAATTTGTATGAAGGCAAATGCCATACTTAATAGACAGGTATCGTAGTGACGAAATAAACACACAGCGAACAATTTTGAACTATCGATATTTGGTTTAAATAATTATCGAACTCAACTAAAACTATTGTTTTCTTATTAACTAATTTAAAATACAATTCTAGTATTGGTTATAGTGTAGAGAATTTAGTGATGACAGAAATACTAGCGAAATCCAATTCAATTACGTACGGCTGTAGTAGTAATAAACATTTATTTACTCTCATTATTTGTTATGGTCATTATTAATTTGAGAAAACAGTGTTTTTATTATTTCATAAGTTATAACTATGAATCTGTCGATTCCAACTTGTATAAGAATAAAAATCGAAAATCGACACGATTCATGACTGATTTTACACATCCCATCCCTACTAAATTTGAAATGAATTGTCAAACTAATCTAAATTATTTAGACACACTATATTTTGAGAGTCTGTAATGTATGCATTCATTGTTTTTATTTAAAATCTTATTTATTTTATAAAAGAAATTACGGTATTAAAAAGGAATTAAGAAACCTGTCTAGTTCTATCCTATAATAGCTTAGGAAAGAATTGAGTTAAACACTTTTTTAAATCTACCTAGCATCATATATAAGTACACCCACAAAAACACCTGCTTGTGTAAAATTGTATCAAATCATCTTACTAATATTACGAAAGTTTAGATGGATGGATGGATGGAAAGACTTTGTTACAGTTTGTAGTCTAAACTGCCGGACGTATCCCGATGAAATTTGGCATAGCTGTAGAGGATAGTCTGGAAGAACACATAGGCTACTCATTTTTGTTTAATATCACGCTGACGGAGTTGCAGACGAAAGTTATTAACTAATATTATAAATGCGAAAGTTTAGATGGATGTTAGAGTTTGTAGTCTAAACGGCTGAGCGGATCTCGATGAAATTTGGCATAGACGTAGATTAGTTTGGAAGAACACATAGGCTACTCATTTTTTTTTTTAATTCCACGCAGACGGAGTCGCAAGCGTAAGCTATTTTTTAAAATTTAAAAGAAACTAATTTGACCTTATTATAAAATAAGGCTGCCTACAAACTTCGGAACTCAATTTCTTAACTATTTAACAATGTCAAAGTTTTCACGAAGTTGGTCGAAGACTTAGCGGACTTGGAGTGGGATTTAAAAAAAACATTACGTCGAAGTTACAAGAGCTGTTAAGAACAATTTTAATACATAATAATAGTACTTGAAATGTAATTTATATATTTCTGAGGATAAAAAGTAGGATAAATTAGGCTCAAAGTTCGGGTATATTACATTTTTAAAACTACTTTATTAAAGAAAATAAAAAAAAACTGTATTAACAGCTGAGACTTTCTACTACTTAAGAATATAGATTCATGAAAGTTCTTGTATTTTACAGATTAAGATTTTTTTTAATAATATAAGGTGGCAAACGAGTAAGCGGCTACCTGAATCCACCGAAATGTGAAGCGACCGCTGCCCATAAACATCCGCAATTGCAGATGCGTTACCTACTCTTAATTGACGGAAGAAGAGACGCACATAAAGAGGACATTTCTCTTTCATATGCGTCTCCTCCACCGTCAAATCCATCTTTCCATCTTTTCCTCTTAAAAAAGGGTGGAAAGGAAAAGGGACTAAAATTAGGCCTCCTTCACCATACTCATCAGACGAAACGCGGAATTGTTTTCACTTCACGCCTATTTTCTGTGTGGTCGTGGTATTACACCGGGCGAGCCGGCCCTGCAATGCAAAGATGGTAAAGCGGGCTCTACCACTGTTATAATGTTTGTAATTTGTTTTAAAAGAGCAACATATTAAATAACTATTAAATTTTCAATCTCTACGCTATTTTTCTTTTATATCCGCATATTTTAAATTCCGCAAGACAATCTTTAAAAGAAGACGCTGCCTCCTGAAACACAGTTATTACTAGCTCAGGAGACAGAGTCCCACTGACTGTACTAAACCGTTTTAGATCAATAAAGAATTTTTTATTTTTTATTGATATCAGACAAAGTAAACTATAATTTTAAAGTATTTCATAAAACAAGCTTCACTTCTCCCTTCCTTTAAAAGAAAACCTTGACATTGGCCCATTTATTCCCACGATCGATTACAAACTCGTTCCAAGGTTTTTCCTTAATACTTCCGAAACAGATTCCCCAGAACGACCCATATCGTGCTCTTGCCAAATTACGATACTGAAATCTTTAACATAAACAAACAAAAATGAGTCACACGCATTTAAACGAATCTTCAATTCATTCGTCACTAAAATTAACGGATTTCAAAGTAGGCTAAATTTTGTTCTTACCCTACCAATCCTAAGCGTAGGCAAGGACGGAGGGATAGTTGTATCATAGGTTGAAGAAATGGATTCATTCTACCATCTATTAACTAAAGTTAGGCAATGCCTGTGCAAATGCAAATTCCTGTGACCCCTTGCTCGATTGTTTGTCGAATGAAAAATCAACACTAATGGTCTAACTTAATCCACCGAAATGGAAAGCGACTGCTTATTTGACGGAGAAGAAGACGCACATAAAGAGGACATTTCCCCTTTCTATATGTCTCCACCACCGTCAAATCCACTTTTCTTTTCCATCCTTTCCTCTTAAAAAAGGTAGGAAAAGGAAAGGGACTAAAATTAGGCCTCCGGCACCACACTCATCAGAAGAA